AGTTACTCAAAATCTCCGAAGTATATGTGTATGTACAATAAGAGATAGTCTTGCTTAGAGCATCAGCAAGATATTTAATCAAAGTATGTGCAGTCTGGCTCTCCGTCCAGTAGCTGATTCAGAGTAAACATTTGTAAATAATCATCATTATAATGGCTGTAAGGAAGAATGGGGACAATGTGTATTTCTTAAATTTTTAATTCACTTTTCTTTACATTAAAGTTCAACATAGGGACCGGTCTTATAGTACAGGATGTTAAGTCACTGCCTGCAACCTTGGCATCCCAAACAGACACTGGGTCAAAGTGAGGCTACTCCATTTCCAAACCAGCTCCCAGCTGATGTGCTTGGCAAACAAAGAAGATGAGCCAATCCCTTGAGCTCCTGCACTCACACGGGAAACCCAGATGGAGTCCCAGGCTCTTGGCTTCTGCCCGGCCTGCCCTTGGCTGTTGGGGCCCTTTGGGGAGTGAACCAGAGAATGGAATCCCCCTTTTTCTTAAGCCTGCCTTTTCAATATGGAATGGGTTTTAGAAAGTTCAACATAACAGATATTTATTATGGAATGTTAAGTAAAAAGAGAAACTTAAAAGAAGAAAATGTAAATGAACCCTAATTCCACTATTCAGTGAACACTGTCAGCATTTTAAATGTTTTCCCTCCCAGCACTTCACTGTGTACATGTGGAGCTTACACAACTGGGATTCAGCAAGATGCAATGCTGTGCCACCCAGCAGTTTTAACTTAAGACAGAATGCATTTTTTTAAATTAAAAATTCTTTAATTTCTCAAGATTTTAAATTTTGAAGGGACTTTTTTCCATTTGATTTTTAATTTTATGATACAATTCCATAGGCTCTGGGCTTTTCCCTTACCCTTTCCCCAAATTCCCCTCCTCTGCCTGATTTCCCCCATCTTATTACAATAGTATAGTGAAGAGATTCCTTTTTTGACTGCAATAATTTAATTGTCCATTCCTTTCATCTTAAATATTTTACTGGCTTCCTTTTTCTTTTTTTGCTTTTCTATTCTCTTGAACATCGCTCCCAATTTTAAAAAAATCCTGAAAATTTACTTTTCGATCGTATTTATATGTATTGATTCCGAAGAAGCACGGCTGGCTGTAATCCTTGGGTGGCTCTGAACGGGCCCGTCCCTCGGAAACACAACCCGGTTTTCAGAGATGCTCTTGCCTTCACCCGCACCCCTGCCCGCTCACATCCTTGGAGGAGGCCAGGACCTTTTCAGCTGGCTGCCGGGGGTGGGAGGACAAGCGCCAGGGAGCCCGGTGTTGAGGACGGCGCTCAGCGCTGGTGCTGGGTGGGGGCTTAGGGTTAGTATCTTACTTCTTCCTTTCCTTTCGCTAATCCCAAAGCAGACACGCGAAGAGGCACCAGGGCCAGGCAGCGCGTTGTTGCAAAGAGCCTGCAGGTGGTTCCCGGGGTAAGCCTGACAGGTTGACCCGGAGGAGCCGCGACTCGGTGCAGAACTCGGTGCAGCACTCGGTGCAGCCTGCGGGCTTCCCCTCGCATCCCCGCGCCCAAATCCACCTGCCCTGGAAGCGCGGCGAGACCCCTTCTCTTGCTGGACTCTTCTGCCATCTAGTGGCGAGAGAAGGGAGGTGCTAGAGAAGGAGTCACCCGCGGGTGTTTGGGGACCAACCTGAAGTTCCCCGGGACAGGATGCCACACAGCCCGCGCAGCGGGGCTGGCCCCTCACAACGGAGGCGTTCGAAGGTGGCCAGCCGCAATTACAGCTGTTTCCCGACCGCTTGCTGTCTGCCACAGCCGGTTCTCAAGTGGCCTGGCCAAGTTCATGCCACCTGGTCCAGTGGCAGAAGCAGTCACATCCGGAACGAGTGGTTTTGGTAACCTGGGTTTCTGCAATCATCTTGAGAATTACAGAGAGAAATCTCTGTGCTCCATCAGCTCCACTCCCAACTGCTCCAGCAGGTTCCGAGACCACTAAGGGAGTGTGGTTTCCCAGGATGCAAAGCTCATTTTCTGCCTTTTGAGCCTCCTGGGGCGCCCCCCCCCCCCCCAAGTCTGCATCTTAAGCAACACCTAAAGAAAGCTTTTGGATCCCTGGCCAAGGATGCTGTTGAAGGAGAAGGGGGGCGGTTTGGTGGTGGGATACATTTCTATCATCTACAAACACTATACCTGCCGCCACCACCACCA